CAGCTTCTATTAAAAATTGATGTAATAATATTTTTCGAAAATTTTTGACACAAGGTTTTAACATCTTTAAAAAGGTGTTTTATGAAGTTTTTTTTTCAAAAAATATATAACACTATATTAATTTCCAAAAACGTCTTAAGTTAGCCTTGTTTGATTTTTGAAGACGAACCCAAATCCAATTCGGTTGAATTTTTATAACTTTTTTTTTGACAATGATTTTAATAGCTTTCGGTCAAACAAATTATCTATTTTCATTCAGGATTCAAAAAACATATTTTTCTACCATTTTTGGAAAACCCTGGAAAACTTTATACGTGGAAAACCTCAAGTTTTCTCAAAAAATATCTTGGAAAACTTTTTTCTAATTTTTACCAAATCCTGGTATCACGTGGAACGAGATATTTGAGGAAAAACATTTGTCGATGATGATTTTTTAATGGAAAAATAAGGATTTTGCAATTAAGCTCCGCCTCCCGGCCCACGACGGATAAAAAACTCGTCACAATTGAAATGAGGGCGGGTGGGTGGGGTTTATATTTTGCCTATTTTTTTAATAAACGTAGTTTTCTTCTCACAAATGAAAATGAAACATGTGAAATCTTTGCCTTTAATTTTTCCTTTGAACAATACGATACTCAAAAACATGCCTTACATGGTAATTTCTTATAGAGATATAAAGATTTTGCAATTAAGCTTCACCCGCTTGGCCAACGACGATTAAAAAAAATCATTACAACTGAGATAGGGCGGGTGGGCGGGGCTTATGTTTTGTCCTTTTTTTCTTAATATACGTAGTCTTATTTTCACAATTGAACACTACATTTTTCGGTGTCTTAGTTTAGTTATGTTTACTAACCTAACCTGACTAAATCATAAATATTTTAGGACTAGCTATCTGATTTGATTTTTCTGATTTAACCTGACCTGCTTTCATCAAGTAAAGCTTAAATATTTCTGGATTTTCCCCTTTTTCAGTGTCGTTACGTCAACTGATCTGACCTGACCCGATCAATTAAATCGTAAATATTTCAGAATTTTCAATGTGTGACCTGATCTGTGTTGATCTGACTAAGCTTGATCTGATTTCACTTTGATCAACTTAACCCAAAATATTTTAGTTTTTTCACGGTTTTTCCATCCTGATCTGACCTGACCAGACTTGATCAATTGAACCTTAACTTTTAAAATTTTTCGGTGCCTTAGTTTCGTTGTGTCCACTAACCTAACCTGACTGATCAACTTAATCATAAATATTTTAGGATTATGGCTGTCCGATTTGATCTTCCCTGATTTAACCTGGCCTGACTTGGTCAAGTAAAGCTTAAAGATTTCAGGATTTTCGCCTTCTTCAGTTTCGTTATATCAATTGATCAGACCTGACTTGATCAACTAAATTCTAAATATTTCAGGATTTTCAATGTGTGAACTATTCTGTGTCAATTTGACCAAAGTCAATTTGACCTCACCTTGATCAACTTAACCCAAAATATTTTAGTAATTTCGCGGTTTTTCCGTCCTGATCTGATCTGATCTGACCTGACCTGACCTGGCTTGATCAATTTAACTTTAAATATTTCAAATTTTTCACTGTTTTTAATTTCGTTATGTTCACTAACCTGGCCTGACTTGATCAACTAAACCATAAATATTTCAGGATTTTCGCTGTGCAACCTGATCGATCTATCCTGATTTAACCTGATCTTGATTTGTTTAATTAAACTAAATATTTCAAAATTTTCGCCATCTTTAGTTTCATTATGTCTACTGATCTGATCTAACTTGATCAAGTAAATCCTACTTATTTCAGGATTTTCGCTCTCTGATCTGACCTGACCTGACTTGATCAAAGAAAGAGTAAGCATTTCAGGCTTTTCAATGTCTGACCTGATCAGTCCAGATCTGATCTGATTTGATCAACTTGACTTAAAATATTTTAGTATTTTCGCTGTTTTTCTCTCCTAATTTGACCTAACGTGACTTGGCCAATCAAACCCTAAATCTTTCAAATTTTTTGGGAGATTTTAGCATCGTTATGTCCATTAACCTGACCCGACTTGATCAAATAAATGTCAAGTATTTCAGGATTTTGAGTGCCTGACCTGATCCGATTTGACTATACCCGAACTGACCTGCCCTGACTTGAGCAATTAAATCCTAAGCATTTCAGGATGTTCGCTGTCTAACCTGATCTGACCTAACGTGATCAAATAGACACAAAGTATTACAGGATTTTCAATGCTGACCTGATCTGTTCTGATCTGACCAACTTAATCCAAAATATTTTACTATTTTCGCTATTTTGCTTATATCATGTAAATTAAGAAAAAAATACAAAATATCAACCCCGCCCACCCACCCCATCGCAATTGTGATGATTTTTTTATTCATACAAACCTAAAACACGTTTAAAATGGTAAATTTATGTAGGGAAATAAGGATTTCGCATATAAGTACTGTCCCTCGGCTTACGACAAATAAAAAAAAAATCATAAGAATTGAGTTAGGGCGGGCGGGTGGGGCTAATATTTTGCCTTTTTTTTCTTGACATACATAGCCATCTTTTCACATGCAAGAAACTCAATCATGGTTTAAATGGTACATTTTTGCACGGATTTTGCAATTATGGGGCGGAGCCTAAAACTAGAATCGATATCTCCTTATACAAATTTTCCATTTTAAACATGTTTTAAGTTTCATGTTGTGAAAACAAGTCTACACATATTACAACAAAGAAGCAAAATGTCAGCCCGCCCACCCGCCCTGTCTCAATTGTGATGATTTTTTTTATTCGCCGTGAACCAAGGGGGCGGAGCTTAACTGCAAAATACTTGTTTCTTTACAAGAAATTAAAAACATTTTTGAGTATCGTGTTGTTGTTCAAAGAAGATCATGTAAATTAAAAAAAAAGACAAAATATTAACCCCGCCCACCCACCCCATCTCTATTGTGATGATTTTTTTTTATTCTTACAAACTTAAAACACGTTTAAAATGATAAATTTTTGTAGGAAAATATGGATTTTGCAGTTACGCTCCGCCCCTCGGCGTACTACGAATAAAAAAAATCATCAGAATTGAGAAAGGGCGGGTGGGTGGGGCTTATATTTCGCCTTTTTTTTTTTTCTTAATATACATAGCCATCTTTTCATAAACAAGAAATTTGATCATGTTTTAAATGGTACATTTTTACACGGATTTTGCAATTATGGGGCGGAGTCTAAAAATAGAATCGATATTTCCTTCTACAAATTATACATTTTAAGCATGTTTTAAGTTTTATGTTGTGAAAAGAAGTTTACACATATTAAAACAAAAAGGCAAAATGTCAGCCCGCCCACCCGCCCTGTCTCAATTGTGATCATTTTTTTTATTCGCTGTGAACCAAGAGGGCGGAGCTTAACTGCAAAATACTTATTTCTTTACAAGAAATTAAAAACAGGTTTTTGAATATTGTGTTGTTCAAAGAATACTATTTATTTTAAGAAAAAAAGGCAAATATTAACTTTATTTCATTATTTCAGGAAGTTTTATGTTGATCTGATCTGTTCTGATCTGACCAAACTCGATCTGACCTCATCTGTCCATATTTGACCTGACCTGACTGCATCAGTTGAAACCTAAATATTTCAAATTTTTCGGTGTCTTTACTTTCACTTGATCAACTAAATCGTAAATATCTGATCTCACCTGAATTGATCAACTTAATCCAAAATATTTTACTATTTTATAAATTTTTCACTGGCTTTCCCGATCACAAATATTATTATATTTTGAACCCACATTGAGTGTCTTCTATACATTTTTATAACTCTTGACTTCCAATCTTTTGGTATATTTATTTTCTACATTATCTCATTTATTATCCTGTTCTCTTCCTTTTTGTCCTGTATATTTTATCATTTCAGGGGTTATGTTATCTCTTTCCTAATTTTATCTTCCGTATGAAAAAATATTCTGATGTTTTATAGGCATAGTTTATTTTCGTCAGTCCGATGCGACGTTGTCAAGTTATTCCAATTCCCTTGAAATTTCTATCACTGGACGAATTCACAAAAAAAAATCGCAATAGAGTTAGTACCTGCTAAGATAAGAGAGATTTTGGCAAATCACATAACCTCTAAGAAAAGAGAGGGTGGGTGGGTGGGGCTAGTACCTGCTAAGATAAGACTGAAAATTCCTATAATTAACCAAATGTCCAGTTTATACACTTTCAAATTTATCGAAGGTCTTTGAAATGTGTATACCTACATAGATCGAAGACTTTCCACAAAATATTTAGTTAATTAGGACCTCTGGCTTCTTTCTCAATCTCGTACAGTTTATGGTCTCTTATTTGTATAATAGTCAACATTACGTATTTTAATACGTCTGGGGTCTACTTTGGGACCGTTATTATTTTAATATTTATGAACGACCTGTCGGGATCCAGTAAAAGTGTATGTAACAACTAATAACACTGTATTAAACACAATAGATATCACCTTCAGTTTTTACCAACTAGAGCAACGTCTTCTCCAAACCTGATTTCAATCTTCGCCCCTTTCGCATCCAACTGTCCGTTACCTGCCCCTTCGCCACACCCCTTTAGTATCAAAACCCGAACCAAGTAGGCGTCGCCCGAAATAAATCACCCTGAATGGGCTACTTTGACCAATGGTCTGCGTCAGCATGTGCGTAAATTGCGTAGCGAAAAATCCGCCTAATCCCCTCAAAATCACGAGTCACCCTCTTAAAACGTCATTATTAATTCTGACACGCCGAATAATAACAAACAGTCAAAGGTACAAATGTCTCCCGCGGGGCTATTGGAACGCACCCTGCACAAAAAAGAATGTTACAGATGTCGCTAAAAAAACTCGATAACGACATAATTTTCGCACGCCTTTCGGACAAAGGGGTGCTACCCCGTGCCGTGGCCCACCGCGGCGAGGGCGGGCAGGGGGTAATTTCGTTAGGTTGAAAGGTTTATTTAAAAAATAAATAGTTTTTTTTTGGTTCCAGGTCCACATCAAGGCCGCTTTTATCATGAACGGCGTCTGCGTGAGATGGCGCGGTTGGCTGGACCTGGAGCGCCTCGACGGCGTCGGGTGCCTCGAGTACTGCGAAGAGCGAGCCGCCCAGGAAGACGCCCTTCTGCGGGAGCAGATAGAACGATACAACCAAAGGCTGCGGGAGTTCGAGGATAAACAAAGGGGCTACCGCCAGCAGGAGCGGCCCGACCAAGAATTAGAGGTACGTGTTGGGGGCCCCTTAAGAAACTACATGAAACTCTACTGAGTCGCACCCACTCTAACCCTCTGTTCTTTTATACTTAATTTGTAAATATTTACTAGCGTACGACTTGTTGACGTAATTTTAGTTACCCATCTGATATGCAATATGTACATATGAATAAACGTATTTTTCAACTTTTCGTTTGTTTTATTTATTTTGCGCTTCTTTGCCTTTTTTGCGGTTGCTTTCAGTTACTCAACGCCCACGCGCAATTTCGCTGTTGATTTCGCTCTTTTTGTGTGTTTTGTTTGTGTTGCTTTTTTACCGTTGGTTTATTTTTCTTGTTACTCAACACTGGCAAGTCTTTTGAGAGCGGGCGATAGAGCGGTGAATTGTCGGATTAAATTAGAAGCGAGCTGGGTTTCGCTACCGGTTTTTGCCTCCTGGCTGTTTGGAGATGTGTTTGATCACTAGGTGGCTCCCACGCCGATTTCGGGAGCCGGGGGATGCATTACGGCTTGATGGGGATTAATCCGATTTTGGGTGCACCTGTTGGTGGGGGCGTCCTGGAAGAAAGGGAGTCATTGAGGGGGCGAAAAATTGCTGAAATTAAAGAGGGTTTTTTGTTCCATGGTACAGGGTGTACACTTTCTCAGACCACACCAAACTATTAGTGCAACGTTTTGTATAGTACACAGATATTTATATGAGTTTTCGTGATATATAGGTATCCTATTTAGAATTTAAGGAAAAATTTGGCAAATATATTAACAGAGGATCAAATTGAGGCTCTAAAAGGGAAAAAGTGGATATAACTTGTTAATTCTTGACGAAAAAATTTACTTTTTAGCAGATAGGCCACATTTATTAAAAAATATAAAGCAATGTTTGCTACAAAACAAAATCATTCAATTACCAAACGATTTTGTCGAAAAATATAAACTAACTTCTGATTTGGTTGACGTGCAACACATTAACGATTTTTCTGAAGAAGAAGGCAAATTTGAACTGCAATTTGCGTCTAAATTAATTGTGGATCTTTTACAATCTAACCATTTTAGCAAAATGAAGGTGTCAAATTCTCTAAACGTTTTGAATCGAAATGTTAGTTTGGAATAAAATTTGATGCGGAAGACAAATCTTCTCTAACGACAGCTGTTTTTATTGATGTTGTACATAGGTGGTTCCGGTTGATTAGTTCTAGATCAACTATTTTGGTCTTGAGCAAGTTTAATATTGCTGTCTATAGGGAAACTATAAAATTTCTTCAAGAGTTCGTTAAGTTATTATTAAACTTAAAAGTCGCTCCTGACAAATTTGGAAAAGCAGTTTGGAAGCCTATTCAAACAGGTGTTATACTGACTACAACATCAATTTTAGACCTGCAAAATTTTGTTTTTGAAAGAAAAAAACTCATTTATTAACATCGAGATTTTCTTAAGAGTGTTTAGAAAATGTATTTTCCCAAATTCGGTCAAGACATCCGGTCCCTAAGGTCATTCAATTTAAATATGACTCAAAACTTTTATCAGTTTGTCAATATTTGGACGTTTCAAATAACTCAAGTTACGAAACCGACAAAACAACACCTTCAGTTGGTTTTTTGAGTTATATTAAAAATAATAACAGAAAAGAAAACGATGTACCTAAAGGAAAAGAAAATTTAGCTTTACTAGAAATTGGAATTTGAAGAAAAAAGAACTTTCTTTGAGAGAAAAAAATGCACAGGTTACGTTATTGAAAGCTTGATAAAAAATCAAAATTTTTGCAAAAAATGTATTGTTGCTTTGGTCTCCAAGAAGAATTGTAATGAAAATTATGCAAAATTTGTGGCATTAAATGAATATAAAACTGGTGCTTTACATTACGCTTCAGAGAACGCGTTCCAAATAGCAATTTTAGTAGAGTAAATATTTTGTAATTTGAGAGATTATTTAAAGAACAATAATTTTTGCACTGGTAATGTTTTGGAAGTCATGAAGAAAGAAATTAGGAAAAATTCGACTTATCGCCCAATACAGTTTCCAACATGCTGCAACAGCAAAACAAAATTTACTGCAAGAATGATAGTTTATCGTCTGAAAATCTATGCCAGAAAAGCTAAAGAAGAAATAAGAAAAAAACAAAGAATAAAATGGTCCAGCAAAAGCTATGCAATGAGGGATTTGGTTGAAAATGCAAATCAAAAATTTGAAAAAATATAAAGAGTAACAGTTGCGTTGTCCAAAATTTCTTGAGTTTATATTAAAACTATTTAACTGACAAATTTCGAGATAAAAAATAATTATCTTGGATATTTTGTTTATTATATTATGTAAATAAGCCTAATACCACTAATTCAATAGTAGTCTCTATTTTGGCATTAGTTTTGGATCAAAAATTGCTGTCACTTGTCAGTGTTTGCTCTAATCTTATCATTATATTATTTAGGTACACTAGATTAGGTCAAGTTTTAAGTCGGTGCTTGTATACGAAATTAAGACCCAAAAATCCCAAAATAGGCACTTACATTTATTTTATCTTTTTACATAGATAAATATAATACATTTTTTGGTTGATGTGGAAATTCTCACAAGATTCATTGACTTGGCAATGATGTCAAGACCTGCTCAAATTTGCGAACTTGAGTCAAAAATTGATAATTTATTCGGTGAAAACGCTAGCCTACGTGTTGAAGTTCAAAAGTTACAAGATTTTTGGAAAAAAAATCAAAATTTTGAAACATCATTTTGTAATTTTATTTGGAATCTGCAAAACCGAATGCTTTGAAATCTTGGAGATGTTTTAAAGTTGTCAAAAATATGGAAACTTTTTGATTAAAATCTATTTGCTCATCCCCCCTAAAAAAATGATGACGTCACCCCAAAATTTTGCTGAATAAATTCTACCGAAAATGTGCAACATATTATCAGTTTTTACTTGTGTTTTTTAGATTTACACCCTTTTTTCTCAGAGGATGACATTTGCCAAAATTAGTCTCATCTTAGCTAGGACTAGCCCCACCCACCCGCCCTCTATTTTTTTGGAAGCTATGGCATTTGCCAAAATCAGTTTTATCTTAGCCAGTTCTAGCCCCGCCCACCCACCCCCTCTTTTCTCATAGATTATGTCATTTGCCTCTTGTAAAAATGAAATCTACACAAATTAAAACAAAAAGGCAAAATATAAGCCCGCCCACCCGCACTATCTCAATTGTGATTATTTTTTTATTCGCCGTGAACTAAGGGGACGGAGCTTAACTGCAAAATACTTATTTCTTCACAAGACATTAAAATCACGTTTTTGATTATCGTGTTGTTCAAAGAATACTACACATATTAAGAAAAAAAGGGAAAATATATACCCCGCCCACCTTCCCCATCTCGATTGTGAAGATTTTTTTAATTCTTAGAAACATAAAACATGTTTAAAATGGTAAGTTTCTCCTAGAAAAATAAGGATTTTATATTATGCTCTGCCCCTCGGCTCACGACCAATAAAAAAATCATCAGAATCGAGATAGGGTGGGTGGGCGGGGCTTATATTTTGGCTTTTTTTTCTTCTTAATATACATAGCCATCTTTTCACAACAAGAAATTGCAAAATCGATGTTTCTTTATACAAATTTTCCATTTTAGACATGTTTGAAGTTTCATGTTGTGAAAAGAAATCTACACATATTAAAACAAAAAGGCAAAATATAAACCCGCCCACCCGCCCTATCTCAATTGTGATTATCTCTTTATTCGTCGTGAACTAAGGGGGTGGAGCTTAACTGCAAAATACTTATTTCTTTACAGGAAATTAAAAGCACGTTTTCGAGTATCGTGTTGTTCAAAGAAAACTACACATATTAAGAAAAAAAGGGAAAATATAAACCCCGCCCACCCACCCCATCTCGAGTGTGAAGATTTTTTTTATTCTTAGAAACATAAAACATGTTTAAAATGGTAAGTTTCTCGTAGAAAAGTAAGGATTTTACAATTATGCTCTGCCCCTCGGCTCACGACGAATAAAAAAATCATCAGAATCGAGATAGTGTGGGTGGGCGGGGCTTATATTTTTCCTTTTTTTTTCTTAATATACATAGACATCTTTTCATAACAAGAAATTGCAAAATCGATATGTCCTTATACAAATTTTCCATTTTAAACATGTTTGAAGTTTCATGTTGTGAAAAGAAATCTACACATATTAAAACAGAAAAGCAAAATATAAGCCCGCCCACTCGCCCTATCTCAATTGTGATTATTTTTTTATTGGTCGTGAACTAAAGGGGGCGGGGCTTAACTGCAAAATACTTATTTCTTTACAAGAAATTAAAATCACGTTTCTGAGTATCGTGTTGTTCAAAGAATACTACAACAAGACAAATCTTCTCTAACGACAGCTGTTTTTATTGATGTTGTACATAGGTGGTTCCAGTTGATTAGTTCTAGATCAACTATTTTGGCCTTGAGTAAGTTTAATATGGCTGTCTATAGGGAAACTATAGAATTCCTTCAAGAGTTCATTAAGTTATTTTCAAATTTAAAAGTCGCTCCTGACAAATTTGGAAAAGCAGTTTGGAAGCCTATTCAAACAGGTGTTTTACTGACAACATCAATTTTAAACATGCAAAACTTGTTTTTGACGAAAAAAAAACTCATATTTATTAACATCGAAATTTTCTCAAGATTGTTTAGAAAATGTATTTTCCCAACTTCAGTCAAGACATCCGGTCCCTCCGGCCTTTCAATTTAAATATGACTTAAAACTTTTATCAGTTTCTCAATATTTGGACGTTTCAAATAACTCAAGTTACGAAACCGACAAAACAACACCTTTAGTTTGTTTTTTGAGTTATATTAAAAATAATAACAGAAAAGAAAACGATGTTCCCAAAGGAAAAGAAAATTTAGCTTTGCCTAGAAATTAGAATTTGAAGAAAAAAGAACTTTCTTTGAAAGAAAAAAATGCTTTGTACAGTTGCACAGGTTACGTTGTTCAAAGCTTGATAAAAAATAAAAATTTTTGCAAAAAATGTATTGTTGCTTTGG